TCTGTTTCAGACAGGAAATGGCTTTGAGGAAGTGACAGCATGCAAAGAAACACAGGCCTATAAATGAATGTGATTAATATGAGTGATAACCTCCAGTGTGCTGAACGCTAGACGGAGAATTCCCTTTTCTTTATATTTGTAAAGCCCATTAGACTATCAAACAATTTGCGAGGCAAGAATAAATTATTTTTCATTGTTCAACCAAAGAGGAGCTCTTAAAGAGAGAGAGGAAAAACACATTCACACCTCACTCTCACGGTGCATACAAACCAGGAAATGCTTTTTAAAGGGCAACACTGTTTTGCCTTATAGAGAAACTGTGTCATAGCTTTCATCACATATGCCTTAAATAAAGTTACATTTGGGATCAGCATTGATTACTTTACTAATGAAGGCTGAAAACTTTCCTTTTCATTCTTCTTCTTGCAGACCTTTCTATTTAAAAACAATAAAAAGAAAAGAAAACAATAATAAATAAACAATAAAACACTACTGGTCATATTTGACACTACTGGTCAAATATGACCAGTAGTGTCAAATATCACCCATTTCCCATGTAGAGGGGGAACAGGTGACTGTTTCTAACTAAAATATGAATAAGAATAGGAGCCAAACAAAAGCAAGTCTACATCAACATCTAATCTGTAAAATATTACATCCACCAGGCTATATTTTAATAAAATTACTCACATCGTGTGGTGATTCCAGACAGAATCAAAAGATACAGCAGCCCAAGATTCACTTCAAAAGCTCTGAACCATCTTCTTTTCACAGCTAAAAGCTTCATCTGGATGTTTAATTCTACAGAGACAAAATTGAGATTTAATTATTGTATTATTTTAATTAATACGTCGTAATCAGACTGCACTCATCTTGAGAATGAGCTGAACAAGTTCATCGTGTTAGTCTCATATTTACAGGAGAATGTTTAACATATAGAAAACAGAGAAACAGTGTTTGAGAAGGAGAAATATTTCTAGGTGATTCTTAGAGCATGTGGGCCAGAAAAAGGCCAGTATATCTGTCAGTATGGTCGAAAATAAGCTTAAAAATACAATTAGCTCTGTAGACATGAAGACCACTCTCGAGTTGTTTCCTGTGGTTTCACTTGCACCACACAGTGTCTAAGAAGACTTCCTTGTTTTTAATATTTCTACCTTTGCCTCGGATCTGTCAGATAAGAGTCTTGTGGAACTTCCCTCCTTTTCTGTAATTTTTTGACGACTGAACAGTTTTTAAACATATTAAACCAACTTAAATTCCCTCATATTCAGTTTTATTTATATAGCGCAGAATCGCAACAACAGTTGGCTCAAGGCACTTTGTTTTGTGAGGTCAAGACCTTGCAATAGTACAATAGTTTATTTATTTCCTGCTTACCAGCTGCCTGCAGCCCAACATCAGGATGTTGTTCTCCATCATCTAGCATCTCAACCTCACTGTGCTCTTGCTCTCGTCCATCACTGTCGATCCTTCTGCTGTATTTCACTCTAAAATCGGCTGCAGTCTGACTGTCTGCAGACATCTTGGTGGGTGAAAGTATTTGAGCAGCTTTCACTGTCTGTTTCTGTCAGTCAGGCAGGCTTTAATCATCAGCATCAAACAGGAAGTAGCAGCAGACCAAACCACAAACACAGAGAGGCTAACTTCATTGTACTTTACAATGTGGTTCGCAGACCTTTGAGTGAGAGCACATGTCAAATAAAAAACAAACAAACATTGTCATTTTTACTGGCTGTTGCAACACGGAACTTTGAAACTAACAGAAATACATACATGTACAAACAAGAATACCTTTGTCTTGAATTAGTACATACTGTGAATAGACAGAAGCACACCAATTTCAGAGTTTTTCCAACACGGGAACACCTCACATGTCTAACAGAGCTTCAGTGAGACAAAGGAGATTCTTTCAGCTAGTGGCCAACTGAAGAATGCCCTCAACTCATTTTAAATCTGTGTTTCATGCCATTGGTGTTTACTTCCTCATGCAGTTTGAAAAATTTCACTTTCTTCACAAAAACCAGAGGTCATATGGCACTTTTCCTACTCGAGCTTTTACATCAAATCAAACAGTGTGACAGTGCGTGATCATATAGATAAAGGTAGGCCTGTTTGAGGAGTGATTTGAACTGGAGATCAGCAAACAGCCGGAAAGAGTGAGGCTGTGCATATATGTGGCAGAAATTAGCTTCCTTCATAGATTGGTGGCCATGATGTTTCAAAGAGCCGGAGGGTAAGTAAATGGCAGACAGAAATGAGGCAGTTTGAATCTTCTTGTGTCTCACACATGCGCAGGACTGGAACGTAAGTGTTTTGGGCCGTTTCAATATGGACGCACAATTCTGTGAAAACACTGAAAACGCTGGTGTGGACGCGGAGCATTTTCAGAGAAAAACGCCGTTTTTAAATCTATCCGGGCTAGTGTGGACGTAACCGAAATCCTGAGCTGGCTTGGTATCACCTCTGTGTCACCTGAAAGAAGTGACCCCTCTGCGATCTGAACCTAGATAAGCTGCTGATTAACCTTTTCTGTGTACATTCCTTTACATTAGTGCATTTTGTATTTGATCAAGAGTTTAGATTTAGATTATTGACAAAAAATCACTACACCCACATCAGAAAGTAACAGATACATGCCCAGTATATTCATTGTATCATCTAAGACAGTGGTGCTCAAACTGTTGTACATGTACCACTGGCTATACATGGGCTCCCTCTAGTGGTATGTGGGAAGTCTCCAAATGTTTAAGATTAAATAAGATACCGTGTTCAGGATGAACGCCAACTTTTTCCACTCAGTAACTGATGGTTAGGGACAAATGCAATGACATGGCAGGATGCTGTAAACGGACCAAACTTCCATCCATAATACGAGGTTAGTCATCAATACACTGCTACATGGGCTCGGCTGTAGTTTTAAAAACTGAGCTTTAAAATGAACAGTGGTAATAAAAACCGAGAGAGGCCAACAGTGATCACTGATTGTTTTTAGGGGCTTGTTCAGATTAAATTAAACAAGATACAAAGCATTAAAATCTGTTTAAAAAAAAAGAAGCCTTGATGAATTCAGAGTAGTTTGAACCCAGTAGCAGGGTTCATAGGTCATCACCTAAAGACCGGACATCCCACCTGCTGTGAATGTTTTAATGCAGTACAGTTGTTATCATTATGAGTTGTCACATCCTGTTTATCACAGTTAAAATAAATAACACTCTTATGAGAAATACAATTGTCTGGTGTAAGCAGTATATGGTGTTAAATAGACCTACACTACTGTACTTTAATGTCGGTCATAAGGGTGGTACTTCAAGAGCCATATTTTACGAGGGGGTATTTATTGTGAAAGGTTTGAGAACCACTGATCTAAGACACAGACTTGACTCAACAAAATACCATTTATGTTAATTGCCATTTTTATTGTATTATTTATCTATTTTAAATGTAGGGGTACATTTAAGAGTTCAGGCTTTTTAAATCTGACATTGCTTCCATTCCTGTCAGTATTAATATTTCATGCCAATATTACATAAAACTGTTCGGGCAGCACACAACCAGAGTTTGCTGTAGTGCAAAAGCAACAGTACAAATTTGAGCTCAGTTCAGACTAGATGCTGCCTTACTGTACCATCTTGTGGTTCAAAGTGGTATTACATGAGGGTGTAGGCCCAGATTTCAACATGATTACTTTACTATTGCATCAGAAATCAATATTCTTCACTAATTCACACAATTGAAATTTGCCGAACATGCTTTTTCTGCATTTCAATCTGTTTTAAAGTTCCTAATTTGTAACTATAAAAAGCAGCAGCAACTTTCAGCCGTTTGAGAGAAACTGAAGAAGACATTTACTGAAGTTTTAGGACCAACAGACTGATGAATAAACCAAGTAAAGCAAAGTAAAGACAAGCTGCACTTTGACTTTTATTAGAACAATTTGCTGGAACTACAGAGTAATGAAGTACTTTTTGTGTGGATGACTTCCAACCTTACTGTACAGCACAGAGCACAGAGGGACAATATATGTAATCAATATATGATGCAGAATGAACAAGTAAAGACTGTAAGCTGAGTCTGAGGCTCATGCAGGACATTTCATAGTGAGGTGTCTTTGGTTGGATTATTCAAACATTTACATCAAAGCACCAAACTCATTTCTCACAGATGAAGGTCTTTGATTCATGATCATATGACCCCGTCCATTTCCTATTATCGTCACAGCAGACTCCACGGTATCCAGAATAAGGATCTGACCATCCTGTTCCCCTGAACCTGTCAGAGAGATCAAATCTGATATGAAACTGGACTAAACTCATAACTATTGTCACATTCATATAAATATGCGTCTCTTTTGGAATATTTCCAATATTTGCTGTATTTCTTTCCCAGGTTTCTCGCCCACTTTCCCTCCTTTAGACTTTTCTCTGAGAATCATCATGCACACTAAAACAGCTTTCAAGCTTTGATGAATATGAAATCTTCCTGCTGTAAAAATGGAGAATAAAAAGAAGTCAGAGCTGACTTTCTGCTGTTTGAAACTGTTTTGTCAGCTGTTTACAGACATCACTTTGAAATGTGTGTCTATCAGGTCATATTTACTGAAGCTTCTTCCTTCATATGTTCTGAAGTTTTACAAACACCAAAGAAGAAGAGACAGGAATTCTCTGAAACACTTTTTGTTCTGTGAGAAAAGAAACATTACAGCACAAAAACATGAAGACAAATTGAACAAAGTGAAATGTGTCGGTCGCTGCTTTGAACATGTTTCAATGCTGATTTCTTCAAACTGACTTGTTGTAACTGAACGTCATCACAGACTGCAGATGAAGAGAGTTCAAGCACAGCTGTTCATTCAAAGGAGGATTTCTGCTTTTCTTTACATTCAGTTTGTGGGGCTGTTGGAAAATAGCTCAACTCATGTATTGCTGATCTATCTTCCAAAACATCCATGTTTCACTTCTAAATAATAACTCTGGAATAGAAACAAACTAATGTCTCACGTTTCTGTCAGCGCTGATCCGTCCACCCATTCCCATTTATATCCTCCTGATGTCTGTTTGGCTCTCAGACCAATCCAGGACTCTCCTCCAAATTTACTGACAAATTCCTGTTTGAGAAGAGACACAAATATTGTCTCCAGTCATAATTCAGCACTTCTGTTGTAGTGACATCATCTTGTGAACATGTCTGAAGGAAGAATAACTGTGATGAAACTTTTCTTCCATTGTGCAGAAATCAGAAAGAGCCAAAGAATCAATGAATATCAGCTCCTCCTGTAGCTCAGTCAGTGTTGCAGTGGAATCAGTGTTAACAAATCATTTGATTCAGTTGGATTTACCGTATTTTTCACACCATAAGGCGCACCAGATTATAAGGTGAAAACCAAACAGTCAGATAAGTCATATTTTACTCAACTTATTCTTCTTGCTTCCTCCACTTCCCTACCATTGATTCATTAATGCTGAATTCTCTGCAGCTGCTCTGTTCCCATGTTGTTGCAGTATGTTAATGACTAACCTGGTATTGTGGATGGATTATCTCAGTTGTTCTCCTGACTGCAGTTTGTTCCGTTTACATCATCCTCCCATGTAATTGCATTTGTCCCTAACCATCAGGAACCCTCACGTTAACTTTTGTCCAGCGTTTATCCTCCAGCTTCACTGTGCTAATGTTATGCTAACGTAGCTGTTTTGTTAGCGATCACGTAGCACATCATTATATACCAGCTAGCCCAACTTCAGTAACCCTACAAACGTCACTGCTGTTTAGTTTTCTGTCTTCATTTATGTTGGAAGTGATAGCAGAGCTGTACGTTTGATTTTTTTCAGAAATCTCTCTGTCAGAACATGCTATATCATGTTTAGGTGGAAACTAGTGAGCTAACTCCCTGCTAACTTCTAACTCTGTTAAATGTAATAAATTCTGTTTTCATGGATGCCTGGATGTTAAACTTAATTGTTGCACCTGGTAAAGCAGCAACGCTGATCATTTTATTAAAGATGAAAGAATTTAGACACTTTTTAACTCTCAGTGATGCCACAGTGTTTGTTTGACTTTGGGACCTGAAGACGACGGAGTTTTGGACCCAGATTACTCCGCGAGGCTCCTGACTACGGCAGCCGTAATGCTCCAACAATCCATCAAACAGTGCGCCTTCATAGCTTACCAAAGTCACACTAAAACATTTTTTGACAGATTTCTGTGCGCCCTGTACCACATAAAATTGGTTCGAGGTCAGTGAGCACAACCAGAATTCATACATAAGGCGGACTGTCGATTTTGGAGAAAATGAAGGGATTTTAAGTGCGCCTTATAGTGTGGAAAATATAGTAATCAGAAAAAAAATCTGGATTATGAAGATTGCTCTGATTTTATACAATTTCTGTGTAATTTAAATTTTTGCTTCGAATTTGTCAAATGTGCAAAAACTTTACATTTGAATGTGAGTGTCTGTAACAAAAATGGAGAATCCAAGAAATCCATCAGAGTGGAGACAGGAAGCAGGTCACAGACTGACAGCAGGTCAAAAGCACAAGTAACAGATGACTGTCAACTCCATCAAAGATCACACAGACATGAACAAACACACCCACCTGTTCCTCTTTGCTGTTTATCATCACCAGATCAGCTCCTTTATCCTGACAGGCTCTCCTGCTCTCAGACCAAGTTTTACTCTCAGTGGATTTAAAGTAACAGCTGCTTCCAAATCTCGTCCATCGATCAGGACACTTCTCTTAAAGTCAAACACATGTTTTAAAGACAGATTTTGTGTCCTGTTGTATCACATTAATCTTTGGTCCCTGTCATTTTCCCTGTAAATGCTTCATTTGTCTGTTTATATTAAATCCTCTATCAGGAATTTAGGTGTCACTTTTGACTCGACTCTCGCGTTGGATGGTCATTGAAATCTCTGGTTTGGTCTTGTTTTTAATCATTTAAGAAATGTGGCTCTGAGCTGGAGATTGTTATGCATGCATTTCTTCACGGTTGGACTAATGTAACTCGCTGTTTATGTGTCTAAGCAAAGGTTCTGTGGACAGTCTGCAGGTTGTGCAAAACGCTGCAGACAGACGTTTGACAAAACCTTCCTAGTATTCACATGTGACACTGTTGCTCGGTTACACTGACTTCCTGTTGAATTTAGAGGCCATTTTAAGATCCTGATCTTGACATACAGAGCTGTGCATGGACTGGCACCAGCCTAAATCTCTGATCTGCTACAGCACTATGTCCCCAGAAGGTCCCTAGGGTCATCTGATCAGGGCTTACTTGCTATGAAAAATATTAAGAGGGTGAGGCACAGGGTGGTAGAGCTTTTGCCACTGTGTCCCCTCAGCTGTGGAACTCTCTCCCCCAAACATTAACAACTGTGGACTCAGTAGTTGATTTTAAAAAAAACTCAGAACTGCTTTTGGTTAATTTTTGCCTGTTTTATATTGTCTTTTTAAAAAGAAAAAACTTTTCATGACTTGTTATCTTATGTGCAGCACTTAGTTTATTATTTTTATTATTATTAAACTCAGGTTTTCTCTCTTATTCATAATGAACTGAAACTTACATTTATACAGAGAAACTGTTACACAGCATCAAACATTTAGGATTCAAAACAAAGACACAATCAGGTTATCACTGTGTAACACTGATGTTTTCTATCAGTTATTCAAACTTTATTACCTTCTATTTCCTCCTTCAGCTTCTTCACTTCTTCCTGTAACTGACTGTGGTTTTTACTCAGTTCATCATAACGGCTCTGTAACCGAGTCAGGCTGGTTTTTGTGCCTTTAGAGTAAAACAGATTAAAATTAAGTTAAAATGTTCTACAAATATATCTGTGATATAAGAACTTGGTGTTTGCTTACCTTGAAGTTCATCCTGGAGCTCACTCTTGTTCAAAGCATCTGAAATAGTTCAGTGAAAGCAAAATAAAATAAAATGAGTGAAACATTGAACAGAAATAATCTTCTTCCTCTGCTTTGTCAAATATCAATAAGAGTCAGAAACTTGCAGCCATTGCTCTTTAACATGTCCTGTGGGTGGAGGTGTTAGAACTACAGGAAATCTGATGAGCTAAATACGTATCAACTGTGAACAAAAACCACTGACAAGATTCAGAATAATTGTGCTTCAGTGTGGAGGAAGAAGGTGAAGAGTCAAACAGCATTTCTACACCTGTAGTCAGAGATGTTATGTAGGGCTTTGGAACGTGATGTCACGGGGGTGGGCGTGGAAAGGATTTTGTCCCGATCCGCCATTTTGGGGGTCTAAACAAAGCGCAAGCGAAAAAGTAGTCACACACAACAGTTCGTTCTTGCTGTGTGGTCCGCTGCAATGTTCAATCGCACAACCGGCAAGAGAATAAGCTTGAAAATGGTTTATCTTTTCATTCTTTCCCAACCTGGAAGCAACATGAAGCAGCTCGTGTGTCGATGTTACCAAACGAAGGCGTGTAGCCTGGATAGCAGCCGTGAGCTGATATCCAGTTCTCTTCCATCTCCAAATATCTGTTGGTTCTAAATCTGGTAAGTTCTAAATATGTTCATATCTTTATAGCCTATTAGTTTTATTTTTGATGCGCTCTGAGGTCATAGCAAATTAGAACAAACATCCTACTGAGTGATTTTGCAGAACTACCTTCTATTTATAGAGTTGCTAATTATTTGGCATTATTGCAGCAAACCAGCCAATGAAATGGATGAAACATCGTGACTGAGTTCCAGCGCTACACAAGGAACCTGCTTCAAACATACCACCATGCCAATCAGATTACTTCTTCCATGTGAGGGTGAAGAGGTGACCCTTCAGGATAAGATGGTGAAGGTTTGCTGCGTTTGGTGAACAGTGTGATAATAAAACAAGGGAAAAATGAAACCTGCTCCTGTTAAATATTCTTAAGTCTTTTGCTGTATAAATAGCTGTATTTTTTCAAAAGATACAGTAAATAAAGTAATGTTAGTAGTGGGTGATATCATGTAAACACATGATTTTGTGTAAACATTTTGTCATTTGTAAACTGTAAATGACATGGATTCTACATGTAATGTGATGTTCTATAAAGTGGTTTTAATTTAAAAAAAAAAAGAGGCAAAAATTAGTTTGTTTCTTTATTCAACTTTTGAACAGCGGGACTCAGTCAGTACATATCCAGTAAATGCAAATTATTTACACAGCAGTGCACTACAGGCATAAATCTAGACCCCTAGATAAAACATTATGGCATTATAGCAGTGACGACTCCTCCACAGTAGCAGGTGGGATTTTTCTGTTTTGAGGCTCCTTTTCCCCGTCACTACAGATGGTCTGTTTATGTTTTGATCAAGAGCCTTTTTTGGGCAGCTGAAGAGGAGAAGTCTATCTTATGGCCAACCTCTGGCTGTATCTTGGTCATATTACCCAGCAAAACCCAGTATGCAGGTTCATCTGTAACAGTCCTTGTGCCACAGATCAACACTGTTGCTTCTACATTAAACAGAAGAGCAGTGACGTGGGTGCAGGTCTCCGTGACTCCGGCCATGCAGGTGCAGCGGGCGACTTCAACCTTCCCTGTGATGCTCACAGTGACCCATGGCTGCAATGCTGGTTCATTCAGTCTTTGAGAGTGCAGGACCTGAAACACACACAGACAAAGTTCATTTAAAGACAAGAACTATGAGCCAAGGCCGACACAAATGTGTTTAATCTACTTTATCATAAATGTAACAAAGTGTTTAGAAAGTTAGCACATACATGTCATTTTTCATTTCTTTATGTGTCCATCGCTGCAGGTTATAGTGTAAATCTGCCTGTTCTGTCAGAAACCTGCCTGCAGAAAATGAACCTAAAGTATGTAATTGCAAGGATGTCATCACTTTAGAGATGGAGAAAGCATAAATTGACAGTTATGAATCACTTAATATGATATGAGATTCTGCAGGTCATTGATCAATGTATAAAACTAAAATAAAATGTATTTTAGTGACACAAGATACAAATATTGACGCAAGATGTATAATTAGGATTATTTATAATAAATATGAATAAATCATTGCAATTTCTTTAACCATAAAGAATAACTAAATCCTTCAGGACAATGTCTCATCAATGCACTGAACTCACTATGTTATCCCTCTAACAGCCTCCACATGTTCTCACTGTAATTTCCCCTCATGAATGAATTTATGCTGCACTAATGTGAATGTTTGCAGGAAAATCAAACGCATTTCACTCGCAGTACTCGAGCTGACTTACCTTTGTTCGAATGACGACTTGTACGCGCTGACTCCACAGATAAGGTATGAACTATGTCAGGCTACGTCAGTAGCGGTTGGTCTCCAGGGTTTCTACTCCACTGCCGTATTTCATACGGGTCCACATTTCCAATGCAGGCTCTTTTCTGCAAGTACAGCTGCTTCGCCTCTGGACGCAATCGGTCTCTATACAGTCCGTTCTCTTTTGAGCTGCTTTTAAGCATCTTGTAATCGTCGTTCCAACAGTGTGTTTGTTTTGATTCGTAGACCCCGAAAATGGTGACGCGCTCCCACAATGCATTGCGGCGTGACGTCAACTCCAAAGCCCTACATGCTTTGAAAGAATAGATTCTGACTCATGTAACATGTGCCTGTTCTCACTGAAAATATGTCTTTTTGCATTCAGTCAAAGCTGCTCTGAGGCTTCAACACTTCCTCATATCAAAGGTGTTTCCATGTGATCAGGTACTTCCTGTATTTGCTGTGGCAGAAGGACACGTTCTGGTTGTGAAGCTGCATGTTTGTTGGCTGCTGGGATTCAGTATCAGTCATACATTCATTTGCAGGAGAAGTTCAGAGGTTGTATCTTATCTTACAGCATATGGACAGGATGATGATCCCAGCTAACATCAGGAGGCACAGCACTCTTAGACCCAGTGTAGCACATCTGAAAGAGCCCTTCAGGACTGAAGGAGGATTCAGAGTCTGTGGTCCTGTTAGAAAGCAGTGTGGATGTTGGTCTGTGCTTATTTCCTGTCACTCTGTGTTTAATAGACCTGTGGTTGTGGTTGTATCAACTTAGCTTCATAAAAGGGTCGGTTGCCAAAAAACAAGGAAATATAACATCTGCACTGTAACTAAAGTGCCTGAATCAATTTGCTGTTCACAGAGCTCTACAAACCAACGTGGGAAAAAAACGTAAACTACAAAGGTTCATACAGCACATGGAGAAACAGATGTTTGATGAGCTGCAGTTATTTGGCATTAAAAGCTGACTGTAACAAACTGGAAGTACATTTATTTGTATAATTGACTTACCTCCTTCCTGCGACTGAAAATGATCATAACTATCTCTGATCTCATCTGTACTCTCGTAGGTATCCACCTCCCTCTGCTCCCACTCTGCTCCGTCCTCCTTTCTGCTGTATCTCACCTTCTTTGATAGATCTGGTTCAGCATAAATATCTGAGGACATCGTGAGAGGACTGAGACGCTGAGCAGAAGCTGCACTTACAGAGTTTAAACTATACTTTAACAGTTCTGCAGTACTAACCCTTGTATATATGGTGCTATGCTGTACTGTTCTTGTCCAGCCTTCTGTCTGCTTTCAGACAGGAAGAAACTCTGAGGAAGTGACATCATGCAAAGGACCACAGACCAACACTTTCATTTGATTGCATAAAAACCTCGAGTGTGCTTGAACACACAAATGGAACATTTCATGGTATTTATATTTGCAAAGCCCCTCAGAAACATGTGAAAACATTTGCATGAAACAGGAATAAATGCATTTTCTTTGTTTAACAAAAGGTGAGCTTGTGGTGAAAAAAAAACACACATACGTCATGCTCACACGTGTGCAC